GATACCACTGAGTTACAGGATGTTACAGTACAGATTCTTGTATGTCCTGAGTCTTCACTGACCTTGAAGTGCTAGGGCCAAGATGTTGGCTATCCTTGTAGCCCTTCTTTTTCTCTAATTTTTTGGTCTGCAAACTTAAGTTGTAAGTTTGAAGAGAAACTTCAACTTATTGAAGAGAAGCATATTGAAGAGAAGCTTAATGATATTATTGCCCTACAGCATAGGCAGTTGAGCTTAACATCACTATCTGTCTGAATATCAAATGCCTTAGACACAACATGGAACAGGTACTTTCCAACAATCGTTGATATGCTAAACTTTAAATCCCTATCAAATGTGAAAAAGATAGAAAATTAAAAAAAAATAAACAATTATACATTTTTGAAGGTCCTGCTTTCTGAATCCACATCACCTGGATTGACTTTTTATACTGCATCATCCTTGTATGAAACACACACACACACACACACACACACACACACGCTCTCACACGAAACATTTGTGAATTTTACAGCTTTACTGAAAAGTCTGAGGATAACAGGAATTACATCAGAGCCTTCTCATCTTCTCTCTGCCCTCTCTTTTCTTTTTATCATCTTTCCTCTTTCCATTGCAATCTTTCTTTCTCCCTTTGGAATAACAACCTGTTTTTGCTCATGCCAAGTTCCTTCAAGTCTGAGTGTGTCTCCCTGAAATTGTCCCTTGTCATAAGCTGTTTAATAACAGATTTATCCCATATACACATGGCATCTCCTAAGAGGGGTCCTGATAGAACATCCTTCTGTACCTTATCTTGCATTTCATCCTTATCTCCCTGGAAAACTATTGTCTCTGTCTGACTCTTATTTCATCGTTGGTCATCTGGCACAGTAGCACCCACACAGTAGGGCCACCCACTGCTTCCTGCCTGTGGCTCCTGGAAGGACCCTTTCTAAGTCAGCCACTGGCCTTGTCCTACTTGGGTTGCCTTTGTACATAAGTGACCCCGCACCTTCTCTTTTGACACCTTGTTGTAATGTGTAAGTAGATGAGCTTTGGCAAATTAATACTTTAGTATTTAGCTTATGAATTAGATGTGTCCAACCCAGAAGTGGTTTGGGGTGCACCTAGAGGAGCACTGGGAGGTTTTATAGGGAAAATGTGGAAGCAGATTGTTTGAAGTTTGAGCGACACAATGGCCTTATTTGGACTGTCCAGAAATTCAAGATAATAGTACTGTGTCAGTTGGTTGCCTGATTGGCTAAGCTTAGATGTTATTTTCTTTATATCTGAGCTAGATTCTAATGCCCACGGAATTAGAGCTACCTCAGTATGATGGTCTCTCAGTTATTATTATTATTATTTTTCCTCTCAGTTATTTTTAACGAATCTCACTAGCCCAATTTTGAAGAATAAGCCTGATTTAAAAAACCTCCAATTTCTGAAGGTGAGAGGTAAGCCCCTTACTCCAGGAGCTCCTTATGTAAGGATGGAAGCACTTCCTGGGGAGAGCGCTGAGGGGAAAATCAGTGAGTAGGCGGATAGTCAGTGTTGAGATGGCATCTTATCCCAGCACACAAGCTGGGTCCTAGATATGAGTTCCGCTTTTAGTGGGTTTTACTGAGTAGGAAAATGGAACACGGTTGTGGGTTCAGTGTTGCAGAGTGACTTGATGATTTATGAATTATGTAGCAGTAGTGACATGGTAGGCTAGGAGAAGAAAAGAAGTATGGAATGAGGGAGGGAGAGGGAGGGAAGGGAGAAAAGGAAATGAAAAGAAAGAAAGGAGGAAGGAAGGAAGAAAGGAAAGCATGAAGAAGGGAAGGCAAGATTGGAAATGCTGAGTGACTGTAGAGAACCGGCCTGTGTTGGCAGCAGTCAGGGGAATTCTCAGTCCAGCTGGATGCTGCTGCCTATTTTATCCTATCTGCTCCCCTTGGTAAATTTCTCTTAAATGAACTCTGCAGCCTGAGAAAGGCTGAAGGTGGCCAGAATCCCTCTTAGGGAATCTGCAGGTCATTCTGTGTCCCACTCTTTGCTTTCATGGGTGAGGCCTGAGTTCCACCGGTTCTCCTCTCTGCCTGTCCAGCTTGGGAACAGCCACCTGGCAGGTGTCCTGAGAGAAGCCTTAGAAGGGAAGGTGTTGATGCCTTCCACTGAGCACCTGTGTTCTGCAGGGCTTGGGGTGGAGGCATGGGACATATGCTAATTGAGATGAAATCAGTGACAAAGGTTCTAATTAATCATAATTTAAAGTGTGTCTGAAGGTGTCAACACACCCACTCCAAAATCCCTAGGGAATGGGGTGTTATTTTCCTAAGAAAGAAAGAAAATAATTTGTAGGTTAGTGTTTTGGATGGAGTGTGGCTTTCAAAGTGCTTCGGAATTTGATGTCAGCTTTGGCCCCTGGTCTCCTTGGGGGGAGCTGGGCCCAGTTTGAGATGTTTGTGGGATAGATGGAAGCCCGAGCTCCAGGCTCCAGCCAGAGCCTGCCCTGCTTGCTCTCAGGTCCCCCTGTCGCATCTCAGGCAAAAAAGGTGCTGCAAAGCCAGGAGTGGCCGGACAAGTCCAGGAGGCTTGCAGCGTGCCCACGGAAGTGCATCTTCAGGGGAAGAGCCTCTGTTGTTACTACAGACTTCAGGGTTGCCTGCCCCTCTCAAGAGTCTTGGGGCTCTGTGGGTAGGGTTGAGAGAAGCGGAGCCAAGCTCTTTCAGACCTGGTATTCAGGCAGCAGTGAGTCAGGTACTGTGTCTGTGTCCAGGCGCTGGTTTTCTCCTTGTGGATCATCTGATCCCATCTCTACTTCTCTTCCTTTGTGTCCTCACTTCTCAATACTTAGGAAGACTCATTGGCTCACTGTATCCCTTAATGGAAGGTTTCTTGGAGGAGGTGCTGGAAGTGGTGTCAGAGTTTCTGAGAATGCTCTTCCATTGGATCTGTGAAGAAGAGGAGGTGTCCACGTGCATGGGCCTCGGCCGCTTGCCTACAAAAGCCTGTGTGCTCAGGAATCTCATTAACACAGCAATCAGTTATGGGATTCAGTGGCTGGTTTCAACTTGGATTGCCTTGGAAATCAGTGTATTAGTGTCCAAGTCACATGCCTTGGGCACAGCAGCTGTCCTTCTGCCATTACACTCTGCCCTCTCTGATTTCTACCAGGATAACACACCATGATTTCTCTTTCTCTGTGCTTTCTTACTCTGTTGGGTTCTACTGTGAGAGTAAAGTTACTCCCTTGACTCCAACTGTCAGGACAGGTAGAAATGTGTTGAGTAGCAGCATCTCTCCTCCTGCTGTTGCCTGCCAGATTCTAGACCTCCGTGATGTCTGTACCTACTAAGAATAATACTGTGAATTTTAATGTGGCATCAGTTTCACTGTGGGTAAAGAAGATATGAGTGGGAATCCAGTATGTTATAGAGTCATTAAGGTAAACTTCCTAAAGTCATGATTTGGTGAAGAAATTTGGGTACATTCTTTTCCCAGTGAAACAGAACCACCGGAGAAAGATGTGGAGGAGATGCTGTGGGCACCTGTGGTTAAATCATAGAATTAGAAAGAAGTTAAAAGTCAATTGTATTAAAACTACATATTGAAGATTCTGAAGACGAAGTGGAGTTGAGATTTCCGTCAAGGGTTCCTAACCGTCACCATGGACTGGTACCTGTCCCCGGGCTGTGAGGAACTGGGCCACGTAGTAGGAGGAGTAGTGGCCAGCATCAGGGATTCATCTGTATTCCCAGCCACCTGGGTGTCACCCCTGTTAGTCAGTGGTGGCATTAGAGTCTCATTAGAGTGTAAATTTACTATGAGCTACTAGAAGAACCTAGATTGCTTGCATGTTATAAGAATCTCATGTAAAAATAGAAGGAATAAAATGGACAATAAATGTAAAGTTCCTGAATCAACCTGTTACTGTCCCATCCCCCATTCCCTTAGCCCAAGGAAAAATTTCCATGAAACCAGTTCCTCCTGCTAAAAACATTGGTGGCCCCGACTCTAGCCCATCATTTTTTTTTCTTTCAGGTTTCCCATATCAAAACTCCCAAGCAGATGGATGAATTCATAGAGATCCAAAGTTCAACAGGAACTTGGTACCAGCGCTGGCTGGTCAGATTCAAGACCACTTTTAAGCAGGTATGATTTGGGAGGGCTGCTCTGTGGGTGTCTATAACTTTAGCAGGTGAAGAACTAAGAGGCTAAGTACCCTCATCAGCCTACGGCAGCAGAGGCAGAAGCTCTGGCCAGAGATGTCGGGGCCCCAGACCATGTCTGCCCCTATCTTTCTAAGCATCTTTGAGGTACACACTCTCTAAACTCTGGTGTGTTTGTTGACTTTGGTTTTCTCTCTTAAGGCAAGGATGCTGACTAATCAGGGTGAGCACCTGCTTCTCTAGTGACTTATTAAGTAATCCACAGGAAGGAAGAAGGGAGTGAAATAAATCAATAGCTCCTTGAGGAGGCTTGTTAGTGATTTGGGGGAGAGATTTTTTCACAGAGGCAATGTCCTTTCTCCAGAGCACTGGCTTTTTCAGAGAAGAAGTAAGGGAGCAGCTGTTGAGGCAGCACTGAAGTGGGTGGTGTCCATGACGTGTCATCAATAAACATTTGGCTATCATCCCCACCCGTGGGTGGGGAAAACTCAGTACCCCAGATGGTCCAGTGCAGTTTGGTCCCATTCACGGAATAGCACATTCACAGGGCAAAAGCGGCAGCACTGTTGGAGCCTGAGGCCGGCAAGCAAGAAGAAGTGAGCTTCTCTGGTGCCGCTCTGGGAGACGACAGGTTGCTTCTTTCCTCTGGATCGCAGGCAGTTTGTTAGAAAAGCTGCAGCATAATGAGCTCCTCCAAGATGCACATTCCTTCCTTTAAGTGATCTTCTCTGGTCTGGATTTCAGGTCTGGGATAATGCTCTGTACTGTGTGATGGGGCCCTATAGAATGAACACCCTGATTCTGGCTGTGGTCTGGTTCACCATGGCTCTCAGGTGAGTTCTTTCCCGCTCGAGCCCCCTAATGTTCCTGAGTTTCACTTGTGCCCTTTCCACACAGAGGATTCACAGACTTTGCGTCGTCAGCTTGGATGCTTCCGGCAGCAATTGTTGGGCAGCGCCCTCTGGTGGCTTCTATTAGAGGAAAGTTTGCATCTGAGCAAGAATTTCTAGTACAGCAGGCTGTCAGGAGAGCTTCAGCCTCGGGCTAGTTCTGGTACTGACTGCAAGATGCTGTTCTCCTCCCGTCATCCTGTGACAAGGGGCTCTGTGTCTCAGGCAGAAAGAGGCTGTCTTTCCTGAGCTCCCTCCCCCATCTATACTGAGGTATAACTGGCAAACAAAAATTGCATAAATACATAAGGTGGGCAACTTAGTTTTGCTGTCCAAATACATTGTGACATAAGGGCCACGCTGAGCTAATGGACACGTTCCTCCTCTCACATAGTTACCATTTGTGTGCGTGGTGAGGACCTAAGGGATCGCCCCTCTTGGCAGACTTTAAGTAACACATGCAGCCTCTACCTGGTTGTACGTTGGTGATCATTAGCTAGCTGCTTTTTGTTAGTGGCTGCTAATTATTAAGCATCCTTCTTAACACCAAGAGAACTTTTCTCAGACCCATGCAGCCGACCTTCCTTCCTGTGGCCCGAGTTGGAAGTGGGCCAGGAGCCTATGGCTAAACTCATCTCGGGTAAACGAGATGGGATTTCCTAGTGGTTTTAGACTACTCAGGATTCACCTCCAAGCTGGAGATACGGGTACCTTTCTTAAGGGTTGACATCTATATACAATGAAGTTTCTGTTCGCCGTGAGAAGCTGGGAATGAGTGCCGTGCAGGCAGTCACCAGTGTTTATGAGAATACAAGAGAGAGAAAACAAAAAGCCTGCCCAATGCTGCATCCCACAATAAAGAAAACTGCAATTCCCCGTGTGCTTGGCTTCTCCTCCTTGACACTGCTGACTTGTACCCTACCCTCTGCATTAATCTCCACGTAATAGGACCTTTCTTTCTGTGTGAATTTTGGATTCTGCTTACGGCATCACAGGGCTGCTTTACTGTGTATAGGAAGTGCTTATAACAGTTTCTGACATATAATAAGTGTTCAATAAATTGCTAGTGCCAACAGGGAACCTCTAGGCAGATTAAGCCTGCATCTGGGAAATTATTTTGCTCACCACTGCCTGTGTCTAAAACATACCCTGCCTCACCCCAGGAAAGTTAATGGGCTGTAATGTCCTCTGTGATTATGGGGTGAAGGTGGGGAGATCGCATGTGCTTCTAGACCCAGGCAGGTGTGAGTATTGTGCCTGCTGCTGACTTGTGCTCCCTAAACCATTCAAGCTGCCTGAGAATATTTTGGAAGCCAAATATGATCTATGCTAGGATTCAACTGACTAGTAGTTTATTTTTAATATTTATTTATTTATTTATTTGCGGAACTGGGGCTTGAACTCAGCCCCTTGAGCTTGACAGGGAAGCACTTATTCCACTGAGCTATACCCCCGGCCCCAGTAGTTTATTTTTTAAAGGATATTTATTTATTCTGTATATTAGGGAAGGGTCTACAGGGTGTTCAGGGTCTCACTACAAGATAAGACTTGTAGTGATTCTCCTGTTTACAGCCTCCCAAGAGCTAAGATTACAGGCTCGTGCCACTATGCCCAGTCTCAATCGCCATCTCAGCATGCCCCGGGGGCAGGACTGGCATGGCAGGCCAAGAGATTGAACCCCTGGCCCCTGCGCCTGCTTGCAGGTGCTTTAATCTGCTGAGCTATTTATCTGGCCCCTTGCTAGTAGTTTTAAAAAAGTTTTATTTATATTTATTTATGTTTCATTTCAATTTGTGAAGTAGGTAATACATTTCCAATGTTGAAACAACAGAGAAATCAAGAATTCATTCCTTCTCCCTCCACCCACTGCCTTCTGCCTCCTGTATATACTCATCTTTTATTTTCCTATTTATCATTCTGTTGATGCTTTTTGTGAAAGTAACCAAATAATTACGTGCATATATTCTCGCATCTTCTTCCTTTTCTTTCTCAAAGGGACACATTTCACATTTATCTTCTGTGCTCACTGGTCTAACCCAGAGTCTCCTCTTACCAGCACACTGAGGTTTTCTTTCTTCTTACAGCACCTGCGCCTCATGGCGCATTGCACCTTCTGTTCCTGGGGCCTTCTCAGTAGTCTCCTGGGAGGTTTTTAGACCTGTGTTGCTGGAAACAGGGCCACACTGAGTCACTGTGTCTGTGGGCCACTTTATATTTGGGCTGATTTATCAGTGGACTAGATTCTTAGACATGGACTTGAAGGGTAAAAAGAGGTAAATGCATAAGTGATATTTTTAGGTGTGGACATTCTTCCCCATATGGTAGCATACAATTTTGTCCCTATCCTAGCAATTTATGAAAGCACCTGTTAGCCTGCAGTCTTCCCAACAGAGTGTTTTAGCAAACTTTGGGGCTTTGACAATCTGCTAACTGAGAGCGGTGCGGTTTTTATTCACATTGCCCTGATTATAAGTGGGACTGAACAGCTTTTATATATGTTTAATGTCTGAGGTTTCTTGAATGGGCCATCTTGAATTTTCCAGGTACAAAGTTATAACACCTACAAATAGAGATAGTTTTGTTTCTTGCTTTGCAAGTTTACAACCCTACTTCTTTCCCTCCTCTGACCAGAACTGGGGATTGAACTCAGGCCCTTGAGCTTGCCAGGCAATCACTTATTCTGCTGAGCTATCTCCCCGGCCCCCTCCTCTGAGTTGGCTAAGACCTACAAGATGGTGCTAAGTACTCGTGGTGATAATTTTTATCCTTGCCTTGTCCTAATGCCGGTGGGAATGTGCTTGGTGTTCCCTGTTCACTAAGATTTTGACTCTTGAGCTGAGATATGGTAAGGAAGTGTTGATGGTCCATGATTTACCAGAATGATTCTTTTTGGTACTGAGGATGGAGCTCAGGGGCGCTTGCCTCTAGGTAGGTGCTGTGCCATTGAGCTACACTCCAAGCCCAGCAATGAATTTTTTAAATCAAATACCTTTTTTGCCTCTATGAAGATGGCCACATTTTTTTCTTAGCTATATTAATATGATGAATTACTTTATTGTTTCATAGTGAACCCAATTAATACGTTTAAAAAGTCTGACCCACAACAAGCCAGGAGTGTAGACTATGGTTGTGAAGGAATCAGTTGTAGTGCTACCACTCAGACGTTCTGTCTTCTCTCTTCCAGCTATTACGGTCTGACAGTTTGGTTCCCTGACATGATCCGGTATTTTCAAGATGAAGAGTACAAGTCTAAAATGAAGGTGTTTTTTGGTGAGCACGTGTATGGTGCCACCATCAACTTCACCATGGAAAATCAGATTCACCAACATGGGAAGCTTGTGAATGACAAGTAAGTGTGTGGCCAGGGCCTTCCTTTGGATCAGGGTGGCAGTCTGGGGACCGTTCTGGGGAGAGATGAGAATTCAGTGTGGAGGGCATGAGTGCTGTCACTGTCATCACAGCCTGCCTGGAGTGACACAGTCATCCCCTGGAGCTGCTTGTATTGTGCTGGCCCTCTCTTCTTCTGCTCTTCACTCTATAGACTGTTTATTGAAGGGTGTGACATGTGGCCGAGGACAGTCACTTGGAGCAGAAAGCTGCACTCTATTAATGGTGCCATGTTCGACATTCAGCTGCACACAGACACCTCTGCAGGTGCCCACTCCTCTTTGTATCACTAGGGATTGAATCTGAGAAGACCTTCACACTGAGCTACATTTTTTTAAAAAAATTTTTTGTTTTAGTTTTGAGACAGGGACTTACTAAGTCGCTAAGTTGCCCAGGCTGGGCTCAAACTTGCTATCCTCCTGCCTCAGCCTCCCAGAGGGCTGGGTTGTAGCTGTGTGTCACCACGCCTGCCCATGGTCACTCTCATTAACTCTACTTGGCAAACTTGTTGGGTTGTAAGTGATAAGTATGTGAGCAGCCAGAGGCCATGCAGTGGCAGCACCAGAAATAAAAGGACTGAGAGCTCTCTAAGGACCTCTCCTGAGGTCCCTGACATAATCTGGGACCCGGCTGTTGAGCTTTTTCTTGAACTCATGGAGCAGCTCCATGCTGGGCCTCTTATGGTTCCGCCTTTTGCTGTTCTTTCACCTACTGTCACACTGCAGGGTTAATCAGTGCACTCTGTGGCCAGCCAGGGGCGTTGTCCTGTAGAGGAAAACCATGCCATATTAGCAGAGCCCTCTTGCCATGGGTGGGGTGCTGTCTCCTCAGTGTATTTTATTCCTCCTCTTCCTAGATCGGGACCAATGACTCGGGTGGTCTGGGCTTCTGGGCTTGAAGGTTGCCTGTCTGAGGATGCCCTTGGCTGGTGCCACAGTGGGTCAGGAGGATGCGAGCTACATTTACTCAGGCTGCATGATTCTCCTTCCACGAGTGTCTGGTTTCTCAGGAAAGGCCCTGTTCATGTGTTGTGATGGCCAACCAGTGGGAAGGGTCCAGGGGCCCCTGCTCCCAGCTGTCTACCTGGCTCTGACAGGTCAGAGCTTAGCAGCGGCTCCCTGTTGATTGGGGAGAGGGAAATCAAAGGATGGCTGTCAGTCCTCCATGTATGAGACCTTCAGGGAGGAAGCTTCAGGGACGAGGTGTTGTTGGGTACAGAGTCTCCAGTTTTAATTTTTAAAAATGCTGATGCTCAGCGACCAACCTCTTTGCATTTGTCTAAGACATCCACAGATCCTGTGCTCAGATGCTCAGAGTCCCTGAGGGCTGCACCAGGGGATGGCACTAGGGTGGCAGATCTAGAGCTGGGGTGGTGAAAGGTGAGGCATGTTTCATCCGTGGGGTCAGGAGAATGGGCATCAGCCTGTCCAGGAAGAAATGCAGCCCTACCTCTACCACAGCACTTGGCAAAGATTGAAAGCTAAGGGACACCAATTCCTGAAGAGACTAATTCACTCAAGGAAACTTCATGATGAAGCTCCCAACGTTCAGTCCTACTCTGCTGTGACACGGGAACAGTGCCCACGATGCCAGCAGGTGTCGCTGCAGAAGCCAGCTTTACTTAGCTCTCTTCTGTACCAGCCACATTGTGCTTCAAAAGCCCCACATGAATCACAATACCCCTGCAAGAGGTCGGGAATATGTGACTTTACAAGTGGGGAAACAGAGCCTGAGGAACTGGCTCAAGGCCGTGCAGCTAAGAGAAATAGAAAGGTCCGTAAACAGCGTCTGGCCCATGCTGGCACTGCAAATACCGTCTGACTCGGAAGCCTTCCATTTCCACAGAGGCTCTGGCTTACGTGGTGTTTTCTGCACTCGAGGAGTTCATTGCAATGTTAGCATCCTTGTAATTTCTGTTTAATTTTTTAAAAAATTTGTTTTCATTGTCTTGATACCAGGTCTCGCTACACAGTTTGGACTTGGAGTGTTCCTCTTGTCTCAGCCTCCCAAATGCTGGGATTACAGGCATGTGCCACCATGCCCAGTTTTGGGGCCAGCATGGCATGTGGTACCAGGGATCAAACCTGGGACCTTGCGTGTTCCAGGCAGGTGCTGAGACCACCGAGCTATCTGCCCAGTCCACATCCTTGTAATTTCTAACAGGTGCATTTTAGAGTTCTAAGTCTCAGTTATGCAGAAGTTGGATTTTTTGGGTCCACTCTGTCCTTTTAGCTTTTCTTAGTGTTCTCCTAGCTGTCAGCACCCTTCTGGGTAGAAGTGCGGGTCCAGCCAGGGCTGCTGAGAGCAGGGGTCTCATCTATGGACCCAGGACCGCCGGAACCACAGTGTCACTGCCAAGGGTCTGGGAATACATAGGGGCCCTTGAATCACCTGAGACTAGATGCAAACATTCTTCTCACGTGTGTGCTCCCTGTCTAGTGTTTCAAATATATCAGATATTTTTCTGTGATTATTAAAACGTGAATTCCTTCAAAGTTATTCTGAGCTTACTGAAACTTTTGTCATATGTATTTTTAACCAGTGGGGACTGAAAGTCTACTTTAACTTCTCTAGCTTGGAGCTCATGAGGTTTTCACCTAGTAAAGTGAACAGAAAGTGTTTTTCCCTTGCGCTAAGTAGGATTGACACTGAAGAACCGCGCTTCGCTTCTTTTCTTGAGGAGTCCTGCCCTCTGCTGGTCATGAGCGGCAACACTTGGTCTTGGAAAACCTCCAGCCTGATGTTAAACCAGAATAACCAGCTGTTTTTCAGCCTCCTTCGGGCATTTCTCTGGGTCAGTACTGCCCCTTAGACATCTTCCCCACCTCGCTGGTTTAAAATTTATGTGGAGATTATTTCTTTTTTTGACTGTCGCCTACGCGGAGAAGGACATCTGTGTGTGAACAGAGCTTCAGATTTCATGGATTTGTCAATAAAGAACATCGTGTAGAAGCCAGACCCTCATCCCACTGTAAACCAGGAGGTCCCGAGAAGGAAAAAGCGCACAGACTGGTTCGGATCTGCTCCCCAAGCGCCATCTGCCGCTTCCTGGTACTTCTTAGGGGACCTGGTGACCCCGAGTATTTTTCCAGAATTCATGAGTTCTTTTGGAAAATGCAAGACAGGGAAGAGAATAAGTTCATCACTTATACCTCGAGCCAAATGTTAGGTCAGGTTTCACTTACTTTCAGTTAAAAGCAGGGTCGGTTTTCATCCCAAAATTTGTACTAATTAATTAACTTACTCTCTCCTGCTGGGAAGAAATCTGTTTGGCAGGGCTGGCTTCCCTGAGGATTAAAAGGGGGAAGAGCTTTCTCCGACTAGGTCTCCTTGGACACCAGGAAAGGTGCTAATTCCTGTCTGTGATAGGTCACAACCCGGAGGTAACATCCTCATCCTCGGGCTTCCTCCCAACCGAAAGGAAGTTGATGTGTTCTGAATATTCAGAGTCGCAACTTCCAAGGGGCAGGCATCACTGTTTACACAGACAATTTGTTCGTGAAGGATAAAAGTTTCTATGAAAAGTTGGACGTAGGTAACTCAGAATCAAAACAAAATTTTCAGGGCTTTAGCTTTAAAATAAGGTCCACAGGGTAGCAGGAAGCAGGGTAGGAGCAGAGCGAAAGCAGACAACTTGCAGCTGGATAAAATGAAGGTTGACTTCATGTTGAAATAGCACTTGTAGGGTGTGCAAAGAGCTGACGGTGTTCTTTGGTTTAAAAATAATGCTACAAAATGTGATTATGAAAGAATTTTTATAACTTATAGACCTAGAAGTGGAATCATA